CACCTGCCAATGCCAGAGGAGGCTCTAACCACAAGACAGGCCCCTGTGATCAACATTTTCCTCAGGCAGGCTCGTGTCCCACTGGTCCACACCCACACACAGAACTGTGTCCTGCCTCACTGCCTCTGTCCATGCTCTTTTCAGAGGCATTTGAGTTCTCTCTTTCCTTTTCTCTCCCTTTCTAAATCATTCACCTCAATTGGGGCTCTGTTCACATTCCAACACCTCCAGAACACTTTCCAGGACCCCGTAATCGTGACTATCCTACATGGTTATCCATGTACCTTCTAATACTGTTTTTTTGGAACATGACAACTGATCCTGAATTATTAAAAAAAAAAAAAAAACACTGAAGAAGTAATACCGTGGACTCTAAACAATGCAGGGGTTGGGAGCACCAACTCCCGCAAAGTAGAAAATCCACATTTAACTTCTGACCCAGAACTTAACCTCTAATAGCCTAATGTTTACCGGAAGCCTTACCAGTAACATTCAGTAGACTACCACATATTATGTATATGTATATATACTGTATTCTTATAGTAAATTTAGCTAGAGAAAAGATTATGCCATTAAGAAAATCATAAGGAAAATATATTTACAGTACTCTAATTGCAGTATAGTACCGTACCGCATTTATTGGTAAAAGATCCACATTTAAGTGCACCTGCAGAGTTCAAGTCTGTGTTGTTCAAGGGTCAACTGTAATTTCTGCTGAAGGAGTAATGACCACAGGTGATGCAGTTAGGGTATCTAATAAAATGAAAGCCTGATCTTAGCCTTTCTACTGAAAATCTTTCAGTGGTTCCCACTGATACTAGGACAAAATTGAAACTGCTTAATATTTTCTACAAGGCCCCTCAAATCGGCCAAACCCCCCACCCCTCACTTCTTCAGTTTTGCACACCTGCCACATTCTTCCTCACCACTGGGAGACTCTGCGGCTCCCCTACTGCGCCAGTCCTCCCCTACTCCCGCCCCCTTCCCTCTGGCTCAAGACTCTGAGCATCACTCCTGCTTTGGCTGCCTCCTGAAAGGAGTACTGGCTGAGGGACACAGGGGTGGGAAGGAGGTTTTCATTAAACATCCTTTGGTACCTTCTGGGATTTGAGCCAGAAGTGAAACAAACCTATGCCACTTCCTCCTGAAAATCTGTGACTCACCCTGTCCGATTCTAACTCAGACACTGAGCTCCTGCTACTGCTGTGCTCATGCTTCCCTGTACTACTTCTATAACAGCTTTTACCATAGTTCACTGCACTCATCTATTGGTTTATAGGTAGATTATAAGTCCTTGGAGGGCAAGAGACTCGACCTAGTTCTTCACTATATCCCGAAAAGCAAGTGAATAAATAATAGCTTATAAACAGTGAAAGGTCATCTGGCCCAGTTGTTCTCAGCGACAAGCATGACACATATTACAAATGCGATAAGCACACACCATACACTCACGTAGGGATATTCGGATGCCCACGAACCAAAAAAATAATAAGCATAGTTCTGTTTCTTGTTTTTGCTGCTATTATTTAGTAATCTATAAATGTACAAAATCAACCATGCAAGTAATTTAAAAATATTTTATAAGAAAAATAAACAGCATATTAAACTTAACTCTTAAATTAACCTTGATTTCATTTCAGACTTTTGCTTCACAAGTAATTTTTTTTAAAGATTTTATTTATTTATTTGACAGACAGAGATCACAAGGAGGCAGCGAGGCAGGCAGAGAAAGAGAGGAGGAAGCAGACTCCCCACTGAGCAGAGAGCCCTATGTGGGGCTCGATCCCAGGATCCTGGGACCATGACCTGAGCCGAAGGCAGAGGCTTTAACCCACTGAGCCACCCAGAAGCCCTCACAAGTCATTTTAATAAAGTGAAAAGTTAAAAAACTACTGAAGAGCCTAAACAGGATTTTGCAACCATGCCTGGAAACGCTAACAAAATCTGATTACTCTAGTGCCAACAGTAATTTATAGTAAGGAAGAATTAGATTAGTCCTAAAGGCCTTATAGTTTCCAAAATATTGGCAGACACCAGTTTTTGGCTGCAAAAATGGGCTGCACTTGAAAACCGCACATATGGGTCCAAGGAGTTCCAGAAGTGAGCAATCTCAAAAATGTCTAGGTTCAGAGATTCACCTCCATCCTGAGTCATTCACAAACTTGGTATTTCCATCCCTGCCTCTGTCAATGAGGTGGCACCTGCCAGCTCAGAGTCAAGGTCCTACAGGTCACACGTCCAACACCGGCACTGAGGGGGTAGGAGTCTCAAACCAAGCGACAGAGGGGCGCCACCACAAGTGAAGCCCCTGGGACTCTTCCCCCCACACCTGCCAAATGCAATGTGTTCACTTTCTGCTTTTCACACTTTCTGAGATTCCTGCAATACTTTTCTGCGTAAACTAGGGTGAATTAAGAAAAAGGAACGACGTCCAAAAGAATAAATACATGAGAGCAGCAGATTTTCGAGAAAGAGCAGGAATTAACAAAGCAAACTAGAGAGCCATGGTAATTCAAACTGTGAGGCAAACTCCAGAGGTTTAAGAAATAGACAAAAACGGCTAACACCTTATTCATATCACTGTTTCTTAAGCAATCCATCCTGCCCCTAGTACTCCAAAGTGCCAGCTCGGCATAAGCACGTGGACACACGACACACTCTTCTTCTCCAAAAGTACTTGGCTGGGGGGGTGGGGGGGCACCTGGGTGGCTCAGTGGGTTAAGCCTCTGCCTTCGGCTTGGGTCATGATCCCGAGGTCCTGAGAACGAGCTTCATTTCGGGCTCTCTACTCAGCGGGGAGCCTGCTTCCCTCTCTCTCTCTGCCTGCCTCTCTGCCTACTTGTGATCTCTGTCAAATGAATAAATAAAATCTTTAAAAACAAACAAACAAAAGTACTTGGCTATTATTTTCTTTCCTTTGCCATTTAAGTTTTAGAATCAGCTTACCAAGATCTCTCCACCTCACTCCCCCCAACCCCCAATAAAAGCTGTTGGGATTTTAACTGGAATTGCCTTCTCTACAGGTCAACTGCGGAAGAACTGACGTTTTAATGACAGTCTTCGAAATCTTTAAATGTGGTATCACTCTTCATTTAGTTAAGTCTTCTGTATTGTCTTTCAAAAGACACTGCGCTGCAGTTTACATAAGTGAGAAGAGAATTTGTTTTGACAACAAATGATGCGGTCTCTCTCTGACCTTTTTTCTCTTAGTGTTATTTCAATAGGAGCAGCAGTACTCAGTGACAACCCCTCAAAATTTGCTGACACTACAGCTGGCTTCAGTTTGACCTCTCCTGCCCCTCCACAGCATCTTTAATTTTCCAAGGATCTCAGAAGCAGTAGTAAGTAGTTGCTTTATATAATGTGCAACTAATCCGTGCTATCCCATGAACTGCAAACTAAGGGAAACTCCTGAGGCCCAATCCAGCTGTATCAAGGAGTTAGAAATTAAACTTTATTACCAAAATATATAAATAGCACAAAAAGGAAATGCCAATAATCCTTAATCCTTAAACACATAAAAACAAACATAACCTTGATCACTAAAAAGAGGCAAATTGAAACCATAAGGACAATACACATACATACATAGATTTTTCTTTTCTTTTAATTCACCATCAAAAAGAGAAAGAGACAGACCTTCCAAGCCTGGGATTAAGGGAGAGGGAAAGTACTTGTCACCATTATACTATTTTCATTAAACTGGTAAAGGAACAGAATTAAGTGCTTACACTTATCTAATAATATAGTAAAAACTGTATTTTATATAACCTAAATGATGAAGGAAAGCTCTTCTTTACAGAAAAGTTCCACTTAATAAATGTACAAGAAATGACCAAATTAGAAATATCACCATTTTGTAATTTCTTATGAAACAGGTGATTCAGACCAAAATCATCAACATTCTCAAATCTCTGAGCAAATTTAGCATAACCACACATTTTCTGTGTCCTGATGTAATACAGTACGAAGTATATAAAATCACTCATATAATACTCTTACCAAGACTGTTTAAATTTTATCAAGCCTTTAAATCTGTCTTCCAGTTTACAGAAAACAAAAAAAATTTTTTTTTAAAGTTATGGTATGAGAAGCAATCAAGTAAATCATGAAGGTAAAACATTCTACAGAAAAACAGACCCAATTTGTTCTTAATAGCACAGGAAAAAACCTGTGGCAGGGGCTGGAGAGTGAGTACCTCTATTCTACAGACATTTAGGAAATATACCAACTGCACCGTACCCACCTTATTTGGTTCCTAATATTAGCAACCTTTATAAAACAACAGGGGAAATGTCAATATGGACTGGGTAGGAGGACTTATTAATTTTGTTAGGTCTAATAATGGTATTAAGTCACAGAAGAAAATGTCCTTATTTTACTTTAAAATATTTTAGAGGGGTGCCTGGGTGGCTCAGTGGGTTAAAGCCTCTGCCTTCAGCTCAGGTCATGATCTCAGGATCCTGGGATCGAGCCCCGCATCGGGCTCTCTGCTCAGCATGGAGTCTGCTTCTCCCTCTCTCTCCCCCGTCTCTCTGCCACTCCCTCTGCTTGTGAGCTGGCCCGCTCTCTCTCCCTCTCTTTGTCAAATAAATACATAAAATATTTAAAAAAAAAAAAATACATTTTACTTAACTGTGGGGGGAAAACGCAAGGGACAGCAGCAGAAAAAATAAAAAACAAGGTATGTATAGGATGCTAGCACTTGTGTTCAATTTTCTAAAACTACATGCGATAAATGCTTAAGTAACCTTGTACTATTCTAGAGATTCAAAAGAAACTGCTATGAGGAATCATCTCTGGGGAAGGGAGGTGGCTGGGTGGAAGAAAAGAGAAAAATGTATTTTCTACTTGCATCTCTTTATTTTCTACTGGCACATGTATGACAGGATAGACTGATGGACAGATAGAACATTAAAAACTTTCTTTTTTTAATAAGCATACCACACAAGTTCATGTGGCCTTCTACATGGATTTTCAATCTCCAAGTAACCTTTTACCTGCTGGTTGGTGCAGGGAAAGAAAACGAGAGAAGCTGATTCCAGAATGGGTCGTTCTCAGAGACAGATTCTGTGCCCGATAACTTTTTTAAGTACTCATTTTTAGGAAGATCACCGATTCTGCTGCTGTTCGATCCCATCTTCTAATCTGGTAGATAACTTGCCCTTAAGCCTTCATTTCCACAAGACAACCTATAAAGAATGAAAAGAAATTTCATACTTGTTCACAATTAACCATATTTTTCCTATCTTTGACACAAATATAAGAAAGAAAAAAAAACAACGGTAACCTTACTTGAAGAAATCACACTTCTATTTTTAAATATATTAGACACCAGATACAGAGTTACAAAGGAGGGAATAGGGATAAAATCTGTCTTAGCCAACACATACACAAAAATCTAAGTCTATGGTTGTAGATCTTTGAATGGGCATACCTCTGCCTAAGAATATATCTCAAAGCAAATCCCTAACAATGACAACTTATTACAAATTGTCTGAAAATGAGGCTCCTTTACAATGAAGGATGGTGATAGATAAAGACTGGATGTCTTGAATGTCCTCAGAAGGGTACAAGTAGTTGAAGTGATGACCACGTGCTACCTACACTCAGGGGAAAATGAGGCTTGAACTGAGTCACATGCTGAATGAGAAATGGGCTCCCTGTTCCAAAGCAGTCACTTAGTGTCCTTCTCGTTCTGTGGTCACGCACATCAGCATTTGTTGGCATGCCTCTTCTCCTAAACCATTGGTTTTGGTGGTTTTTTGTTGTTTGGGGGGTTTTTTGGTTTTTTTTTTTTTTAATTTTTGTTTTGTTTTGGAGAGGGTGGGAGAGACAGAGGGAAGGGGAGAGAGACAATGCAAAGCAGGCTCCACGCCCAGCAGGGAGCCCAACATCAATCTAAGGACCCTGAGATCATGACCTGAGCCCAAATCAAGAGCTGGACGCTTAACCCACTGAGCCACCCAGGCTCTTACCTTTCTACCCCCAATGTCTAGATAGCATTTAACAGGCATTCCCTAAGTAGTATGTTGAAGGGAAGAGTAGATGAATAAATGATTAGCATCTTCAATATTTGTTGTAGTTGGTCACTAACGGGAAAACTAATAGTTAAAATACCAATCACTATCTTCATCAAATCACACTTAACCTAGTTCCAAATCATGTTCTATCTCAATTTGTTCAAGAAAAGTCTCTCACTGATGATAAAATGGTGGTGAGATGAATAATAAATTACACTATGTTAAAATTACCATTGCAATGAAAGCAAATGATATCCAAAGGAAGCTCGGGTCAGATGAGAACTTATATTAGTAGTGACTTACTTTCTTATGTCTGTCCCTCCTTACTCCACAGAGACATTGAAGCCAACATCAGAATTTGGAAGCATGCCTTCCACGTTCTCTTTGGAACTCTGGGACTGGCTTAGGCTCAATTATCTAAAGACATGAGGCTTCCCCAATGCGCAGGGACAGCTGATCTTCTGAATATGAGGGAGAAATACTGATCTGGCTTCTTATCACCTGAAATCAAGACCACTACTACTTTCCTCTTCCCTACTCAGGGGACAGAGACCCCAAAACCAGCTGGCTCCTACTAATCCTCCATATCAAGCCAGCCAACCATAAAGTCTTGATTATGGTTTAACTTCTCAAATAAGAATTATTAAGCCTAATGAGAAAATGCTATAAAAATATTGTGCAATATATAAATATCTTACTCGTTATAACTTATTCCAGAGCTGTTTTATATATCTTAAGCAATTTAAAATTAAATTTTTAAATATAATCTTACAATGGGGTACATTACACTAATGAAAGTGAATTAATGAGAGCTACAATTACCAACATGGACAATTCTCAAAAGTATATCTTTTAAAAAGTGTTACAGAATAACAGACATGGTATGATTTCATTTCTAGGATTTTTACAACATGCGAACAATATTATTATGGATATATTCATAGCTACTACAAGTATTAAAACATACACAGGAAAAATACACAAATTCAGAAGAATGCTTTTTACAAAATGTTATCAGGAAAAGCTCAGAGGGGCTTTAGCAGTATCAATAAATACCTTCTCAAACAGGAAAGGGGAAAGGAATAGAAGGAAAGGGATGAAGCACATGTAGCAAATATATAGGTCTGCTGACAACTGACAGTATGGGGACACCTGGCTGGCTCGGTCAGAAAGCACATGACTCTTGATCTCAGGGTTTTGAGTTTGAGCCCCATGTTGGGTGTAGAGAGTACTTGGGGAAAAAAAAACAGTAGTAATAAAAGAAACAAAAATGGACATTATATATATGGGTTTTGGCCTATTACCCCTCTATTCCTATCATTCATATATATATATGTATATATATATATACATATATATATATACATATATATATATACATATATATATATATATTTTTTAAAGGATGGTTTCTCAATCTCTGGCCTATTACCCCTCTATTCCTATCATTCATATATATATATATGAATAAATACATATATATATTTTAAAGGATGTTTCTCAATCTCTCAGTAACAATACTGGAAGCTAGATAACAGGGAAGCAATGCTTTTAAAATATTAATAAAAACAATTTAAGCTAGATTTCAATAGCTAGCCAAGCTACCAGTTAAGTATGAAAGTAGAATAAAAGCATATTTTAGACTTGCCACAGCTGAAAAAACCTCCCATGGAGAAACTAAACAGCATCCTTCTAAAGAATGAATGGGTCAACCAGGAAATTAAAGAAGAATTGAAAAAAATCATGGAAACAAATGATAATGAAAACACAATGGTTCAAAATCTGTGGGACACAGCAAAGGCAGTCCTCAGAGGAAAATATATAGCAGTACAAGCCTTTCTCAAGAAACAAGAAAGGTCTCAAATACACAATCTAACCCTACACCTAAAGAAGCTGGAGAAAGAACAAGAAAGAAAGCCTAAATTCAGCAGGAGAAGAGAAATAATAAAGATCAGAGCAGAAATCAATGAAATAGAAACAACAAAAAAAAAAAAACAATAGAACAAATCAACGAAACTAGGAGCTGGTTCTTTGAAAGAATTAATAAGATTGATAAACCCCTGGCCAGACTTATCAAAAAGAAGAGAGAAAGGACCCAAATAAAATCATGAATGAAAGAGGAGAGATCACAACTAACACCAAAGAAATACAGACAATTATAAGAACATACTATGAGCAACTCTACGCAAACAAATTTGACAATCTGGAAGAAATGGATGCATTCCTAGGGACATATAAACTACCACAACTGAACCAGGAAGAAATAGAAAACCTGAACAGAACCATAACCAGTAAGGAGATTGAAACAGTCATCAAAAATCTCCAAACAAAAGCCCAGGGCCAGACGGCTTCCCGGGGGAATTCTACCAAACATTTAAAGAAGAACTAATTCCTATTCTCCTGAAACGGTTCCAAAAATAGAAATGGAAGGAAAACTTCCAAACTCATTTTATGAGGCCAGCATCACCTTGATCCCAAAACCAGACAAGGATCCCATCAAAAAAGAGAATTACAGACCAATATCCTTAATGAACACAGATGTGAAAATTCTCACCAAAATACTAGCCAATAGGATTCAACAGTACATTGAAAGGATTATTCACCACAACCAAGTGGGATTTATTCCAGGGCTGCAGGGTTGGTTCAACATCCGCAAATCAATCAATGTGATACAACACATTAATAAAAGAAAGAACAAGAACCATATGATACTCTCCATAGATGCTGAAAAAGCATTTGACAAAGTACAGCATCCCTTCCTGATCAAAACTCTTCAAAGTGTAGGGATAGAGGGCACATACTTCAATATTATCAAAGCCATCTATGAAAAACACACCACAAATATCATTCTCAATGGAGAAAAACTGAAAGCTTTTCCGCTAAGGTCAGGAACACGGCAGGGATGTCCATTATCACCACTGCTATTCAACATAGTACTAGAAGTCCTAGCCTCAGCAATCAGACAACAAAAAGAAATTAAAGGCATCCAAATCAGCAAAGAAGTCAAACTATCACTCTTTGCAGATGATATGATACTATATGTGGAAAACCCAAAAGACTCCACTCCAAAACTGCAAGAACTTGTACAGGAACTTAATAAAGTGTCCGGATATAAAATCAATGCACAGAAATTAGTTGCATTTCTCTACACCAACAACAAGACAGAAGAAAGAGAAATTAGGGAGTCAATCCCATTTACAATTGCACCCAAAACCATAAGATACCTAGGAATAAACCTAACCAAAGAGGCTAAGAATCTATACTCAAACTATAAAGTACTCATGAAAGAAATTAAGGAAGACACAAAGAAATGGAAAAATGTTCCATGCTCCTGGATTGGAAGAACAAATATTGTGAAAATGTCTATGCTACCTAAAGCAATCTACACATTTAATGCAATCCCTATCAAAATCCCACCCATTTTTTTCAAAGAAATGGAACAAATAATCCTAAAATTTGTATGGAACCAGAAAAGATCTCGAATAGCCAAAGGAATATTGAAAAAGAAAGCCAAAGTTGGTGGCATCACAATTCCGGACTTCAAGCTCTATTACAAAGCTGTCATCATCAAGACAGCATAGTACTGGCACAAAAACAGACACATAGATCAATGGAACAGAATAGAGAGCGAGCCCAGAAATAGACCCTCAACTCTATGGTCAACTAATCTTCGACAAAGCAGGAAAGAATGTCCAATGGAAAAAAGACAGCCTCTTCAATAAATGGTGTTGGGAAAATTGGACAGCCACATGCAGAAAAATGAAATTGGACCATTTCCTTACACGACACACGAAAACAGACTCAAAATGGATGAAGGACCTCAACGTGAGAAAGGAATCCATCAAAAATCCTTGAGGGGAAAACAGGCAGCAACCTCTTCGACCTCAGCCGCAGCAACGTCTTCCTAGGAACATCAACAAAGGCAAGGGAAGCAAGGGCAAAAATGAACTATTGGGATTTCATCAAGATCAAAAGCTTTTGCACAGCAAAGGAAACAGTTAACAAAACCAAAAGACAACTGACAGAATGGGAGATGATATTTGCAAACGACTTATCAGATAAAGGGCTAGTGTCCAAAATCTATAAAGAACTTAGCAAACTCAACACCCAAAGAACAAATAATCCAATCAAGAAATGGACAGAAGACATGAACAGACATTTCTGCAAAG